GACACTATCCAAATATAGTGTATGTAGGTAGAGCAATGAGCATATAGCATATAAAAGACCACGAACTACGAAGGCATGACAAGTAAATAATAGGAGTAATATAGTAGGTACGAGAGCCGGACGCATGGAACCAGTAGTGATAAGCTAACAAGATGAAATCTTTGTTACTGGATTCCTTGCAACTTGAATAACACAAAATGAGTTTTCTGCCAGCCTTTTTCTGGCCGGAATGTTATTAAAAATAGGCACTTCCGGTGAATTTTTTTCCGCAAATTAAACCGAAAACCAAACCACCTGAAATTGATAACCGTAGGTTGAGGGCGATGGGTTTTAAGGAAAAATTCTTTTCTACCGAGTTTTGTCCAGCCGGAAATAGCGGCAGAAGCGGATTAATTGAACTGTTTTTTTGTGAATTGCTATACTCATAACACAACAACTGGAGGCCTCAAGATGGCCTCCGTGTCCGTGGGCACAATTAAACAAGATATGTACGAAGAATCGCATACGATTTTCAGGGAATTTTTTGACAGCTCGTAATCGGAAACACGACTTCTAATCCGCAGTGATCCTTGAACTCGTAGAAATCGATTCGCAAAAGTTTATTTTTTTTTGTTCTCGATTTAGACTATTCCGCTAAAACAGTACAAATAAATACAAACAAATTCGAGACCAAACGAGAGTCTCGGCGAGACTCTCGACGAGACTCATGCTTAGTCTCATCTCGTCGAGACGAGACGAGACGAGACTGAACCTCGGTCTCGTCTCGAAAATTCGAGACGAGACGAGACGAGACGAGACTGAGTCTCGTCTCGGCGACATCACTAATTACCACAGATATACGTAACATATATCTGTGGTATTACAAACATATAATAATATACCTACCTACTTAGAGAAGGAATTCATAGTCTTAAGATAACATACGTAGACCCACAATTTCACATACTCGCGTTAAGGTTTTAAATTATTAAATATACAGTCTTATTATGATTTAACCGTGAACAAACCCTATACATATTTTATTAAATGGAGTTCAAATCGGAGACCGAGGGCGTCATTTAATTGGGCCAATAGTACCTATTCAAGTTCTGTTCAAACCCACGTTCAAACAATTTGTACTAGTAATACCTACTGGCGCTATGTTTTTTGCCAAGGTGTTGCTAATACTACCCCTTTTAATAATACATAGGGTTATTCATGTTGAGCGCCCAGAACAAGAGAGGGATAATAAATAAATCATAATTATAAAGTCGCTATAGCCTTGGGCCCTATTTGTAAAACGGACAGTGTAAAGAATTCTTTTAGTATAATAATGTGTTCATTTGTTACAAATCATTGCCTGTTACTAGTTTAAAACTTTATGCGGTAGATTCAATCACGAACATCCCTCCTCCTCTGACTCACAACATTTTTTGAACAAACATCCAATCGAATGCCTTAACAATATTGTTAGCTTGACAACAAAGTTAACTATGCTTTATAATACCAGCCGTATGTGCTAATCGCACTAGAGATGGTATGAATACAGGAACTTTCCGTTTTACATTAGAATTGTAATGTGTCGGTATCCAAACACTTTCTGCCACAGATGATGTTGGTCCTTTCAATGTCCCAATATTTGCGGCGTGGCAGAATGTTGATCTGATAATTCCTCATTTTCCTTTTGATAAGATATTCGATTCTTAAGAGATGTTCAAGGAAATGAATGGGGCTGGAAAACAATCAGCCAAATTTTGGTGCCAATTTTCACAACCGAGATACCAGCTCAGGTATTTATTCTTCAATTAATATCTTGCAATGGTAAAAAGGGTTGAATTATCTCAAGAATATTGAATTGAATGTTGAATATGTTGTAGTGCATTAGGTTTAAAGGTGAAACGCGTGGTGGTGTGGCAAATGGGTCCAACACAAAACACAAACGGAAATTGTGTGGTCATATTTTGTTTCTAAAAAACAATCTGCTTGATATGTAGCCTTTATCTGTGGTCAAAGGTCTTGTATTTTACAAGATTACACATTACTGAGTATATTACCTCACTAGTTTTTGCAGAGCTTTAGCATTCTAGTCATATTTGTGGCGGTTAAGGTACGATTCAGAGCAAAAACGTATAGGGCATAAATTATGAAGAATTTTATAAGGAATAATTTAGGTTCTATCCATTTTTCTCGACAGAATAACACTTTTCACCACACACCAGTGTCAGGTCAGATTAGCGGGTGGTTTTTGAATCAAAAGAGGATGAAGCATCATCTTGAGAGGTGGAACCTCTTTTGATATATTTACTTGTCTCTAAGGAGTCCGTACCCGAATTTTTAATACTTTATAAATTTTGTCTAACCTAATTTACGTCGACTAAGTATTTACACTGAGTCCAAGATAAAAATGGCTATCATGGGGATCTCCGAAACCATAGAAGATACGACGATAGTCAAATTAGGAGAAAGCTGCACGACTAAAGAGTTATTATCGTGCTTTAAAGAAAACCAGAAAATTCCGATTGCTTCCGAATATATGTCAGAAAAACCGAAATTTACCAATTTCGTTTGTATTTTTTCCTGATGTTATACGAACAGATCCAAAAAAATAGAAAACACTTTCTAATTGCCACTTTTTGAGCTTTACAAGACACCGTTGAAAGATTTTCAATACAATGCTTCGCTCGGAGAAATCATCATCAAGTTTATTTTCTATACGACCCGTAAAAAAAGTACACACTGTATTGAGTAGCATTTTTAATTACTAATACAACCAAGGCACACAAAAAAAATAGTTGGAAACTGCGCACAATATGTTAACCGTGCGAGAATACCTATCGGACATATTTTTCATTTCCCAGCAAATTTACTTCAATAGGCGTTGTGCGAGGGTGCACCATCCTGTTGAAACCAACAGTTTCCAACCATTGATTTTTGTGTGTGCCGTACGTTGTTGTATTAGTAATAGAAAATGCTACTCCATACAGTATGTACTTTTTTTACGCCATATACAAAAATAAGGTTGATGATGATTTCTCCGAAACGAAACATTGTATTGAAAATCTCTCAACGTTTTCTTGTAGAGCTCAAAAAGTGTTCTTAATTTTTTTGTATCTGTTCAAATAACAAATTTCGGTTTGTCTGGTATATCGCATGTCGCATCGTCGCTAAGTGAAAAAATGAAAAAAAAATATCTACGTTAAATCATGTGTGGCTATACTAAAGACAATTATTCGGATACACCTACGCAGTTTTACTGTATGTTTAGAAGGTAGCATCACTCAACTTTAAAAATGAAAAAAAGGCGAGTAACTTTAACGCATTTTCCATGAATGGATCAGTACTTCTCGAACGGTCATGCAGTGGACTATTTATGTGCAGGTACAAAGGAAAGTAAGTTAAGGTCTAAATATTCTTATAAATCAGAAACTTGGAATTGCGCAAACTGCGCATGCGCACACCTTATGTATATTGAAAAAAATGCGATATGTTTGTCTTTACTAGAAGCATCTGATATTAGATTACTGGGTATCAGCACCAATTAAGATATAATAATTCCTCATTTTCAGGTCAAATTGTCGTGAATGTTTATTCACTTCATCAGGACATGAACTACAATAATCACTACAAATGATTAAAGTTAAATTTAGACGTTACTTACGTTAACTTTAATTATTTATTGTACTGATTATTGTAGTTCATGTCCTGATGAAATTACGACGTTCTGTGAGAGAAGTTTTAAAATTCATCCTTAGAATAGAAGGCATTCTGTAACAGCATATCCATGACACATTTTCTGAACGCCATTTTAGCCGATTTTCTGTCCGTGCGTCTGCGCGTACTACAGATCTTCATTTAAAAGCTATCCTCGTACTTTTTTGACGTCTTGGTCAGCAAGCTTGCTAGACTTCGACTCATGAAATTTTAACAGCCGAATTTAATAAGGAAATAAGGTGATTGATTATTATAGTATGAACGAAGTGAGTGTTATAACAAAATCGACTATCATAATCGCACATTATAAACAAATGTTTTACGCTATTTTGTAGTCGAGTAAACGCAATGGAACACCAGGTAAATTTTACTTTTATCTTGGTCTTTTTCTTCTTTTAATTTAATTGCTAATTATCAGTCGGAACCATATATAACATTATTAACGTGGGGAGAAATCCATTCAGCGATGTTATCCTTCTTTTAGGTCACTGGGCCAATTTTTCATTTTTAGTTTTCTTGGCGGGGGATCCTGTTGTAGGTTTGGTGCAAGAATATATGGATGGACTTGTCATCGTGGCTCGTTAAGTGATGGACGTTAATCGCAGATGTGCCGTTATCTGAACGTATTATTGGAAAGACAGCTAGTCTTTATAATCGTAAAAGTTCTTGTTATAGAAGAAAGTTAGTTAAGTGCTACGAGTGTGGAGAGATTTACGTCGTGATAAAAGTGAATGTTTTCATTGGAATTAAAGAAGTGAAGTAGTTGTTTCCCCCCGTTAAGGGGCGTTCTTCCATCATCAAAGAGCCAAATCGAGCTCGAAATACGACCCAGAAGATAAGATTTTCATGTTAAATTTTGTACCTGGCTGGTACCCAAAGCTTGAGAGGCTTACAACAAAGGTAAAGCAGTAGCCTTGGGGTCGGTGAGGGGCAGGGCTTCAGTTAAAATCAAAGATTTGATACTGCTAGATGGAAGATAATCTGAATGGTCAACTTTTTCGCAAGCACCAGTTAAATCTGCCTGTTTTCCTGTTAACCGAAAAAACTAGGATCTGTGGAGTTTTGCTTACGTCACAAAACCTCAACAATCACAAAATGTGCACCCTGTACTTATAAACCTTAAAACTTAAAAAAAATACCGACTGACTAATTAAAAGATCAATCCTTTCAGGCGGTTTAAAGGTATCAAAGAGATCCACAGTTTTTAAAAGGGCAAGTTATTTAATCAGTTACACCTTTCAAGTAAACTGAAAAATCTAAAAGACATAAGACAAGTCAAGGACATCAAGATTGGCTTTTAATCAAACGCACCCGTTCGATTTAACGGAGTATTACAAGTTCAATGGCGAAGTACACATGCTTGTGTGATCCAATTTCTTCAGTTGGAAGTCGATAAGAAGATCTTGTCCTAATTATTTCTAGAAAAAGCCGATAGCACAAACTTATAAAGCGCAAGCACAATAACGAAGTTATTCTCACGTTATCAATTTAAGCGAACCGTAAAAATATAATTGAGCGCAGTTTATTGATATAACGTCGTCAAAACGATGACCGAAATGAGTTTCGCGTTACGTGTGCTGTCTTTTGTCTTCATAGTTACCCTTGGAGGTCGCCATGTTCTCGCTAAAGGTTGCGTCCACAAAATGGCAACGCGTGAATAACATAACACGTATTTTCTGCAGAATCAGATATCAACGGCACAACCAAAGCTCCCCCAGCGAACAGGAACCTTTGCATGGAAGGTCAAACCACTGTTAATGGAAAACGTAGCTGCAAAGGTAAAATTGTGTTTCAAGAACTATTCAGCGGGTTATCGAACAAGTGGCGGCCAGAAATAAAATTTGCTGGTGATCCGGTGAGTACCCCATGGGTTTGTTGCAAAGATTTAACTGATTACTCGGTCAGGATTACGAATTTGTACTCTATAAAGCTAACTCCACAAACTTGTACGTCAAAGATAACGCGTTACATATCAGACCAACGCTATTGGAAGACACCTATGGAGAAGGTTTCGTAACAGAATCGAACGGACTCGATTTGGGCATCGTGTAAGTTGAACCATCGTCAGAGAATAACATTAAGCGATCACGTTGCAGTTGCACCGGACTTTACGGTACCCTACAATGCGTGCAAAGGCCCAGGGCATGGATAGTGCTACCTCCCGTCGTTTCAGCGCAAATTTCAACCACCGACTACTTTTCGTTCAAGTACGGCATTGTGGAAATCCGTGCAAGACTTCCAGCCGGAGATTGGATCTATCCCGGTAGGTAATTGCGACAATTTAATATCAACACTAATCGTCCCACGAAGAAATTAGCCTAATTTCCAGAAGCGAGCTGTACGGGCCGGGATACGAATCGGGACGCATACGCATCGCTGTAACAGGTGGAAGTAGCGATCAAAATCGTCATTTGTTCGGTGGCTGCACTTTTGGGTACTCTGAAATGGCCAGAAGGTTCGGTTATAAACGGATTGCGTCCAAAAATCCTTGGTCAGACGATTTCCACACGTTCAAAATACAATGGAAGCCAGACAGCATCTCCTTCGGCGTAGACAATCAAATCTATGGCACCGTTACACCGCCATCAGGAGGATTTGCTACGCTACAAAATATACTGCAAATCGACCCTATGGTAGCCGAAAGATGGGAGGGAGGTACAGTACTGGCACCTTTCGATCAAGAGGTACGAAATGGCTGGTTTGCGACTCGGTAATTAAAACGTTATTTCAGATGTTTATTACACTGGGGGTTGGAGTTGGCGGGCAGATGTATCCCGACCTTCCCGAAGTAAACAAGCCGTGGAATACGGACGATCCCAAGGCGCAACTGCAATTTTACAGAAACAAGGAGAAATGGTACAATACGTGGGGTGATAAAAGCGAACTGGTGGTAGATTACATAAAAGTCTTTGCCATTTAAGGAAATAAAATTTTTCATATTTATTAAACCGCGTTACTTTCGTCAGTGATAAGCGTGTAAGTGTAATAAAGTGTGACGTATTTAATTTCTGACGTTTTTTTGTATTATCTGACTTTATAACCCTATATAACTGTTATTTATTATAGAAGACGATAAAGGGATATTCTAACCATTGAGTGAATTAACTTTCACGAGATGGTCAGTTTCCCTTTATCGTCGTGTACTATACAAAACTTGATTTTATAGCAGAGGCCATTGTATCTAACGCTCTAAGGCCTAACAAATCACTTTTGGCCAAGGTGCACACAACATTTTTTAGGCGATCATAAAAAAAAATTCAAAAATTTGCTCATAAACATATTTTTTCTGAAAATCATAGTTATCTTAGACAATTAAAAACAAAGCATTTCCTGTCATAATGTAATAAATTATAATTACCATCTTTGCGTGTGTTTTGTGCGTATCAAAATGGGTGATAGCGACAGTTCAGATACCTACCCAAAATGAAATTTTGGAAGCTGCAAGCGTTGCGACCCTAAGTCATATATGATATAAGAGCAGGCGTTTGAGAGTAAAAGTACAATCGCACTTCCTCCGCTGCACAAGACATTAATAATGTCAAATGCAATAAGTCCTTCGTAACTGTGGCTTCCAAGACCTTATAGTTAACATGCTGTACAATTATTAGAAACCTGATTACCTACTTTGATGGTAGGTATAGGTAGCTACTTGTGTTTTCGGTTAATTGCTGGTGATTCTTCGTATAATAATGTAAGCAACAACATCTTCCTCATGTTTTGGTTCTACACTTCAAAAGGTCTGGAAGCAGCAAAGATTGAAACGTCAAACTATAATTTTAAATGTGAACATTGTGATTATGCAAAATGGTGTGAAACATTCCTACAAGTCCGAAAATGAAACAAGTTAAAAAGTAATCGTAAACGATTTACATAAAGCGCATTTCCACTTGCATTCATTTCCCATTTGTAAGATGCAACTTCTGTTAAAATCGTAAAAATCCGGCCACAAATATGAAAGATAGCGTTGCACATGGGCAATCCATTTTTGACGTGCTACTTCAATTTCAGTTTATGAGAAGAATTTCATTTCAATGCTTTTCTAAATAAGAAAGTTGGAACTGCGCATGCGCAAACCTAAATTTTAAAACTAATGTTAGATTTTCCTTTGTTCCAAGCGCCTAAGTATCAAATTTCACTTAAATGGTTCCATAGATAAAAAAGTTGGCACTGCGCATGCGCAAAATAAAATTTTGAAACTGGCGCTAGATTTTCCTTTATTCCAAGTGCCTATGTATCACATTTCATTTAAATTCTTCCATAAATAAAAAAGTTGGCACTGCGCATGCGCAAAGCCAAATTTTGAAACTGGCGTTTGATTTTCCTTTATTCCAAGTGCCTATGTATCAAATTTCGTTTAAATTCTTCCATAAATAAAAAAGTTGGCACTGCGCATGCGCAAAACCAAATTTTGAAATTGGCGTTTGATTTTCCTTTATCCCAAGTGCCTATGTATCAAATTTCGTTTAAATTCTTCCATAAATAAAAAAGTTGGCACTGCGCATGCGCAAAACCAAATTTTGAAATTGGCGTTTGATTTTCCTTTATTCCAAGTGCCTATGTATCAAATTTCGTTTAAATTCTTCCATAAATAAAAAAGTTGGCACTGCGCATGCGCAAAACCAAATTTTGAAATTGGCGTTTGATTTTCCTTTATTCCAAGTGCCTATGTATCAAATTTCGTTTAAATTCTTCCATAAATAAAAAAAGTTGGCACTGCGCATGCGCAAAACCAAATTTTGAAATTGGCGTTTGATTTTCCTTTATCCCAAGTGCCTATGTATCAAATTTCGTTTAAATTCTTCCATTAAATAAAAAAGTTGGCACTGCGCATGCGCAAAACCAAATTTTGAAATTGGCGTTTGATTTTCCTTTATTCCAAGTGCCTATGTATCAAATTTCATTCAAAAACTTTTATAAGTAAAAAAGTTTGCAATTCGGTTTATAAATGGTCGAGATGCGAAAAGGGCACTGTGAATTTTGAAACGATTCGATTCAACTTTTGGCATTGCGTATTATATGGCTAAATCTATGCCCATATTGAATTTCATGCAATTCAGTTCAAAACTAACGGAGATGTAAAAGCGATCGAACATTTCTAAACAAAGTTATCGTTCACACGGACAGATAGATGGACAGACAGACAAAGGAACAGACGGAGAGCCCAACCGGCAGGCGACAGATAGCAATGCAAAATTATAAACGATCTCTAGGATCGTTAATAAACGGCAAAAGGTGTAAAATTATGGAACATGTAAAAAACGGTTTTTTGTTTTTTTTACAATAACTTTTTTTGTAAGCGGTACAGAAAAAATTCCTTCCTTGGTACAAGGCTCGACACCATAACGAACCAAATAGCGAAAAAAGTAGAACAATAGCTCTTAAGATAAAGAACTAGTAGCGTCGCAAAACGAGCGGACGGACGAACGGACGGACGGACGGACAAAGTGGCCACAATAGCGCATTTTTTTTTTATTTTTGTGGAAATGCGCTAAAAACGCACGTGGATGGCCCAATCCTTGATGGGGCGAGACCACATAGACGCTTTGTATCAAACAGATTACTGTTTCTCACACATCAGTTTCAAATAAGTAAAGTTTGACAGAAGCGTACAATAAAGTGAAACTTTATGGCCGCAAAAGCGACCATAAAATCAACGTTTTTGTGATGATAGCCTAAAAAGTTCCGTACGTAACAATTTCTGGTAACAAATTTGGTTTAAATTGCTTTTTGGACAAATCTCTACAACTAAAAAGTCTGTTCCAAGAAGTAATAAAACCTTTGCAGAAATTGTCACACAAGTTCTTGACACAACATCTTAAAGAACACATATTACATCCTGGTGCTTACTTGTTACTTGAGGAGCGAGGCTAGAAGTTGTTGAATTATCTAAAACAATTTACAATATAAAATATAAATATAAAAACCCCTTTTTTGCGCGCGCCTATACAGTTGGTAATAATTCTGCGCTAATTTTTACCTAAATTCCCTACCTTGCATAAATAGGGAAGGAATAGCAGTACATTTCAACCCTCTTCGCGTTTCAAGCACCAAACCAACCTGCTTCAAAATGTGGGAAAACGGTGGCTATATATCGAAATTTTATGTTACAATCCGCCGCACAACACTTTTTACGTTCACATAACCTATTTATGACTAGTTCCTCGGATTTTCTGATCGTTTCGCTTTACCATTAAAATATCACCTCCGAGCAGAATATCACCATCTTCAAAAATTCGTTTTATTACAATACTCGCTCTCTCCGCTCGTACGTGATAGGCTTCTGAGAACCATTTTGAAAATAATGATATTCTGCTCGGCGCAATACTCGGGGTGATATTCTGCTCGGGCCGATGTTCAGGCCGATATCCCAATTGTAAAGCGAAACGATCAGAAAATCCGAGCAACTAGATATCAAAAATCTGAGTTATTTTCATGCTATAGTACCTACTTCCTATGACAAAATCTTTCTACCACCAAATTTAACATGTTAACGTGGTTGTTCGTTAGAAGAAAAAGGTTGGGTTGTTCTACAATGCCCGTAGACATACCGACCTAAATAAATCTGTAAAGTTTGATATTGATATACACATACATACATATAGTCTAAGAGCCAGTGAAAAGCAGACCCAACATATTTCAGTAAACCCTCAATTTTGTCCAAAGACTCTCTTATACTTACTGTTCATGAGTGGGGGACTAGCTTAGCCAGATCGAGGTAGGTTGAGTAGCACTCGGGTGAAACAGCTATAAAAATTACACCATATTCGAAAGTATTTTAGTAAAGCTGCCATTGACATATTTTAAATTATATCATTTCTTTTATTATAAAATCACTATGGCAGATAGTTATGGCGGTTGTGACGTCACGGCAGACGCTTCTCAAAATTGAAAAAAAAATTAATTTTAAAAATATTTCAGTAAATCTGAAATTTATAGTATTTTACATTATTAGCCAGGTAAGTGAGTTTTTACTGGCGATAGGAGAAGTTGACTAGCGAGCCGTTAGGCGAGCTTGTCATCTCCTAGAGCCAGTAAAAACTATTACCTGGCGTATAATGTACAATATTTTATTTGTTACTCATTTGTAAACGTAAATAATTAGTTCTTAAATTGATCTTGAAGAAATGTCTAAAATATCATGTGATCCATGTAACAGAGACTTCGCATTAATTCTGGCCAATGAAATTACTAGATTACTAACTTGTAAAATTTTTACAGGTCTGCTGTCAGTTTTACAAGTCTGCTGTCAGTTTTACAAGTCAGTAGCGTTTAAACATGACGTTTACCCGTTTGCGTTTTGTCTTGTTAATCAACGTTTACAACTGAGTAACAAATAAAATATGTTATTCTTAACAGTATTTCTAGCTTACATTTATCGTGGCAGACATTTTCATCGGTTATAACAATCTGGCAGACAGGTAAAGTACCGCTCGAGCATACGTATACATGTGTACAGTGAGTAGGTACTTACTTTTCTGTCAGTTTAATCAGCATGTTCTTGAATTTACTATTACCTACTATTATTAAAGATCCTCAGATCCTTTATAATTTTGTATTGTCGTCCGTCCGTCCGTCCGTCCGCGCTATAACTTTTTCTTAAAGTGGCAGATCGTGTTGAAATTTGGTATACGGGTACTTTGGACATTAAGGACGGACGCTCTGATTTTCAGAAAGTGGCTCAACAGGAACAAAAGTTATTTTTTTCTTAACATTCAATAATACAAAACTAATACTTTTTGCTTTTAAAAAAATATATATTGTTCGATATATCCTGATGATGCTGATGGAACTTAAATTTACTGTAAGTCCCATCAGCATTATCAGGATCATCTTCCTCGTCGTTATATAGGATTAGAGCAAGATTTTGCAAACGGATTTTTTGGTATAAAATAAACAACAAGAATTGATGTAATTTTCGATAAATATTGGTATCGATCAATTAAAGACAATGAGCGATGTCTTCGTCATGAATCATCTCAGATTGATTTTAAAATTGCTGGGCCTG